GACACCAATTGATCCGACAGAGTTTCATAGTTGATATCTAATTCCGACACCTTTTGTTTCAAAACGGCTTGCTCGGAACGCAAAGAATTCATGTCATTTCTCATTTCTGTTATGACTTGAGTGAGCGAGGTTAGGTCGTTCTTAATCGATAAAACGTTATTCGAAATTTTGGCCATGCCCACCTCCATATCCTTCCGCCATTCATTAAGTGTGTTTTTAAACTCATCAGACAATGCACTAATCGCATCCATCCAGTCAGATGTTGGATATTTGCGTTTGATTCGATTCCCAACATTTACTTCCTCGCTACCTGCTTTTTGTGCCGACATATTAATATTATTTAAGTCGGTGTCGGAATAACACTTGGCCTTATCTGTAAGTTGTGACATCCAGACCAAATAAAGGAGGCAAACAGGGCAACAGACCACTTTAATGTGAAATTATTTTAGTTTCAGTTAGTATTGCGCGTATGGTACGTTATGTTCGCAATATGCAAGGCCACAACGAAGTCACTAGCACCACACGTTCACAGATTGTTTTTTGTTAAAAACACTATTAATTTTTGACTTTCTGGTTAACGAGTGTTCACAAATTTGGATACACACACTGTTCATCGCAGAATATAACTATACTTAGTTTAATGCACTATTAGCGCGGATATCGATTTTATATTGTAAAACTGACGCAAATGCACGTATGCACCCAACGACGTTTCTTCGTAAGTCTTATTTCTAGTATCGAAACGAACTGACCATGCCAGAAGCTAATATTATGCATACATACATAACTTCACGCCTGTCTCCCATGGGGATAGGCAGAGACTATGGAACGCCAATTACTACGACTCCTATACACCTCTTTCAATTCATCAACAGTCATTGGCTGCACGGTTGGTGCGCAACCGGCTGCCGTGCAACGTGTCGCGGGTTCGATTCACAAAGTGTTCGCACGGAACAACACTTTGTGTGATCCACAAATTATTGTTTCGGGTCTGGGTGTCATGTGTATGTGAACTTGTATGTTTGTAAACCACGCACCCACGACACAGGAGATAATCCTAGAGTGGGGCAACGTTTTTTAAAAAAAAATGTCATCAATCTTTTCATGCATGCATGCTTCTAATGACATTATAATATAATCAGAGCTTCTAATATTATGTAGTTGAACATTTTGAACTTATATTTTCATCATCAAAATGAGATGTGTATAAAATTAGCAATTTTGTACTTATTATAAATCTTATTCAATGATCTATAACCTATTAAAGTTCCTCGCAAAAATAGGGCATAAAAGTTTTATTGAAAGCAACAAAGAATTTCTCAAATTACTGCGAACGTCGTAGTCAATTTACAAATTAGGTCAACTAGTGCTCACCCCTTCGGTTTTCGACATCTCTATTGTTTTCCAAAACGTCCATTGTTCTTTAGCCCCCATAATCAAAATGGTTTCCTGAAGACTACCCTTCTAAATTAAGATAATAAATATGAAGGACTTAGAATGAATTTATTATTACCGTCTTGAAGTGTGTATTAGTTATTGAATACACACAAGAAAAGCTAGCTTTTACCTTCGGCTTTCATTATTTCCCAGGAATTACCTATCTCCTTTCACAATCCTCCAACTAAGTATAAATGTAAGCTAAGTTACAAGAAGATTTATTAAAAAAATAACATGTAAAAAGAAGAAACAAAGTTTTTATCGAATATCTGCATTACTAGTATGAATTTATTATTAAAATAATCGGGATTAACTCGTCGAGTACCGTCATTATAGACACAATTATAGAACAATAGGTTGCGGTCACCAGTGACCGCTCGGTGTTTGACAGTTTAACGACAGTAAACTACAACGTAATACCCAATATATGTCCACAAACAACGTAAAGCAATGTTATGTTAAATTGGCACGCAACAAAATTCACGACTACCATTTCAGCAAAACAAACACACTGTTTCAATAAACTCGTGCACAGCAGAATTAACAAAACGTTGTGGTTCTTTGTATTTTGCGCGGCGCGAAACACGAAAATGTATTCCAACTAGCAACACCGAAACGCTGTGCCCGTAAATAAGCACAGCCACTCAAGATGGTGGTTCTATGTAAATGTGTACCTCTGTTAATTTCCAAGCACTAGACTACATTGTGTCACCGCTCTGAGTGCTTTTCATTAGAGTGCACATTCAGAGGGAAAATGCAATTTCCCTTGCGAGCGAATCGTGATTCTAGGGACGGGGAACTTGTTTTAATTTGTCGATATTATATTTCATTTAGAACATTTTATAGTTTCTTTTTGTTCATCGTAAACTGGATGATGTGAATTCATTGGGAGTTTGCGTGACAAGACACCTTAATCTATAATTTCCAATTACCGATCGCTCATCAATCCCCTAACCATCAAACGAAATAAACTCCAAAGCTACTTTAGAAAGCACGAGCTCTTGAGTGGAAACGCCGATATTACCTGAGCGAAAAAATTGTCTGCACTTAAGTTGCCGAGGGGGACACCGAGAGCGCTGGGTTGCAAGCTTTTACGCATTCTTGTAATTTATTACGCCCGCTCTCTCTCCAGCATTTTTCATTGTGGTAATTTCAACGCCCCACCAATGATTGGCTCGAGTTTTTTTTACCAACTCTCAAATCCAATGGTCATTTATTAACTCAAACGCAGCGCATGGGATATAAATGGTGTGAATTTTAAGGGGAAAAGTTGGAAATCCTTTTAAAGAATGAATATAACGTTTGTGGAATTGTGCACTACGAATTTTCCATTGGCTACTACAGGACACATGAAACACGTTATTAAATAAATGCACAAATGATTGATGTATTCAGATTTTATTGAACAAAATCTTACGTTTGTCTAATTCGTCTCTATTTCTAATACAAATGAAAACAGAAAACAAATTACACATCAATGACGTCACGCTCAAAATGACAAGGACAGTTATATATTGTGTCCTCCTCCTAGTCAAATAAACTAACTACAAGAAAAAAACAAATGACACACGTCAGTGACGCCATGCTCAAAATAACAAGGATAGCAATATTGCGTACTTATTCTCTTTCTACTGAGACGAAAATCTACGGGAAATATTTCCTATGTTTCAATTCGATATAAAAAATACAAATGACACAATCAGTGACTAATCTGGTTGAACTAGATTGCACTATTATTAGATGCACACTATAATTATAGTGTGCATGAAAAAATTCATTCATTTTAGAGTAAAAAGTGTTCATACACACACTAATACTGTAAGGACAGATCCTTAGGTGATACTATTTACTAATTGCAAAATACATTTTATACTTATTATACCTCTATAAAACAGAAGAGTTTGTTTTTTTGTTTGAACGCGCTAATCTCCGTAACTACAGGTCTGATTTGAATAATTATTTTTGTGTTAGATAGCGCATTTATCGAGGATGACTGTAGGCTATATAACATCACGCTACGACAAATAGGAGCTGAGCAGAGTGTGTGAAAACGCACGGAAGTAGCTAGTATATGTATATTTCTATAGAGAAGAACGAGTCAATAATCGTATAAATTGTAATGATTATCTCCGGTATAATTTAATATACATACAATTTAATGAATGCACATCTGTCACCGCGAACACGACTGATTTATTGCAGGAAATGCAAGTTTAAGTTGATCTTGTTTTAGTCAGACTTGACAAATGAACTTTGTGGAATGACTGCCCGCAGGCCGCGGTAGACAGGCTGGAAGCCGCTAGTATCTCTAGACTCTAGGAGATCTAAGTATATTTATATGTTTTATATATCCACAGATGCACTGTATTATAGCCACTAGAAAGTTCTAACTAATAATCGTTTTACGTACCTATAAATTTTATAAGATCAGTAGGAATGATATAACTTTAACTTTCAAAAAGGATTGGTTTATATGACGTCAAAACAAAAATTTTTGATTTTGCCTCTTGAGTAAATTTATTTACATTGAGAAAAATACATAGGTATATCGAAGTATACTCATGGATGATCGTAGGACTCGCAGAATTGTTTCTTGAGGGGGAAAATCATGCAATTACCTCTCCCACCTTCGGTGAGGCAGCGTCTTGTTTCACTTGGAGCTTTTACTTCATACACATACATTAACAGCCCACTGCTGAGTAAAGCCTCTTCTCATACGGAGAAGGTTTGAGCTATAATCTATCACCCTCGTTTTTTTTCAATAGATACAAACTTAGTTTATAACCTACTATAAAACTTCTCTGCATCACCTTTGTTGGCTGGTAGAGAATGCCAGCCGGCATTAAGCCTGCCATTGTATACACATTTGTACATAAAGTGTACAAATTAAAATAAAATTAAAAAAAATAATTACCACTCTTGCTCAATACAGGACGGCGATTTCAAACTTATAATTAGAAATTATAAGACCAGGTTTCCTCACGATGTTTTCCTTCACCGTTTGTCAGTGGTGTCTAAATAATGTAGAAGGTACATATAACTCGAAAAAGTTACATTGATACTTGCGGATGGTAGGGTTCGAACCCGCATCCTCGTCCTCATGCATGAGAAGTGGGCGTCTTAAATCTCTGGACCACCACAACATACACAACGAGACGACATATGTTACATAAAGACTGAGAAGTTGTTACATCGCATGTCGACTATCAAACTCTAACACAAAACATCATCACATTGACTGCACGGTTGGTGCAGTGCCTGGGCAACTGGTTCCATTTTCGCACGGAACAACTCTTTGTGTTATCCACAAATTGTTGTTCTGGGTCTGGATGTCATGTGTATGTGAACTTGTATGTTGTAAACGCACCCACGACATAGGAGAAAATCTTAGTGTAGTTTACCCGTTAATATCCATCCCCTAAATTTGGTCATACAAAAGTATTCTCTAAATATTAGACATAAGGTCTATAATGTAATGTAATATTAGTGGAAAGCGGTCACCGGGGACCGCTTGGGGATTTATGGGTTAAAAAAAATACTATTTTTGCTAGTGTAATACTTACGCGCTAATCACATGCATATGTTGTATAGCTGCAGATGGTCGGGACAGGCGTCTGGACGGGGGCAATGGTGCGTGCGATGGTCCGCCCGGCCCGTACAGCACTGGCTGGAGAGACAGCGAACCACCCAGGGACATCGATGGAGGACTCGATAATCTAGACAAAGGAAAATAGACTATGTAATAAGGTTGTTACTTTTCAAAATACATTGACACGGTTATTTTTTTATAATAATAAAATTGATTGTAATTTGTAAATTAATTGCTAGTTCGGTATTTCGTGAAGTTTTAAATAGAAGTGTGTACGCATTTTTCTAGTTCTGTTGTGTCAAGTCAAACCAATTTATCTTGAAGAAACTTACAACCTAGTTGACTAGTAGCCTAGAAACTGGATTTGAATGTAGTTTTACAAAACCAACATATCACTTAATTAATGACCAACTAACACCAACGAAATATATCTAAGAAAATGACACTTTTCACGAACTAGAAAATACTAACTCACAGAGGCAAAAACTTATAAACAGAACTTCCCAACTAATAATACTTAGGGGGCCACCGTCAAGTCTAAAGAGGACATGTTAAGAAACTATACAATTAACTATAGGAAGCTTACTCCCTAAATCCGACAGGGAAATACTACAAGCCAGTAAATCTCTGACAGAATCGTCGGATTACTTAGTACACACGGTTTCACGTCAAGCCATGAAAACCAGTATAAATTGACCTTCGAATGAGAGGAATGGTCATACAATGCGAGACCATGATAAATCGGTCATGGTATAACTTGATGTGTAGCCGTGCACATCGCTACTAAAGTTATTCTGGAACATTCTTTTGATATTACTGATTACGAGTATATTTGTTTACGGTTTCTTATTTAATAGAGCGTCACTAAAGTGCCTGCGTGTGGGACAGAAGAAGAAATTAGAATTGGAATGCGTGACATAGGTAGGTAGGTACTACCTATATTTAAAACTTCTCCAGTGTCGGAATGATTTTATCCAAATTATACATTAATGGTATTTTATAAAAAAAACTCCGTTTCAGCGTCTGGAAAATTGAATTACCTATTTTCTTGTCGATTTTATGTATTTGCAAACGCATCGACGAAGCGGATAGGACATAATTTTTCACAAAAGATTCTTTAGTTTATCGTTCTTAAGTAAATATCCTGGAAATATTTGTACAATTGTGTACTTTCCTAAACCAAAAATAAATGTTTCGACCGTTCAATACGATATAATATCAAAAAATAATCACACTTTAATAAATTGATTTTATGACCAACCTAATTGTAGTATTTTTCCAGCAAACTTTTAAGAAATAAGTATGCTGTTTGACGCTAAAAAACGTGACGTCACAATACACAATCTCGTACTAAATTTATAGAACACTGTCAATTTTACAGTTCGAAAAAGTATTGAATTTGACAAGTACCCAATTATTTATTTTTGTCAAGTTTATGTATTTGCAAACGCATCAACGAAGCGGATGGGACATCATTTATTCACAAAAGATTCTTTAGTTTATCGTTCTTTAATAAATATCCTAGAAGTATTTGTGCAGTTGTGAAGTGACGACAGACGGTGAATCTAAAAGTTATCAATCCGTTCTACGTTAACGTTCACTATAAAGTTCACATTCACAGAACGCATTAAACATTGTTCTAGAAAACGTACTTCTAGTTCTCATAACAGAACAAACAAATAGTTTATTAAACTACGACTAGCTGGTAACTGTTACTTCATTATTAAAATTCATTGCTACCCGATCGATACGACGCCCGTACTACATTCGAACGTTTACGAGGAAACCGTCAAAGTGTATCAATACTTATTTGTTTCCTATTTTCTCGTGTATTTGTTTAAACTAATGAGTTTCATAATTAAAGTTATTCATAAAGCATGAGATAGTGAACTTAGTTTGAGATGGTGTATCAATAGGGCACCTACATAATAGAGTAGTTACCTAAATTTGAATTTAATATCCGTCTAGTGGATTAGTTTAAAACATTAGAGATGAAAGTGTTTTCCTTTTCTCACAAAAGTAAATACTTTCGACGACCTCCCACTCTTAAACTTAACGCCATTTTATCTAAGTATTGTAACTTTATAGATAAAATAACTGCGTTTAAAAAACCGACTTCAAAAAACCATAAACTAATAACAAACAAAAAGTCAAAACTAAAAAGCAAAAAATAACTATTATTAGTTCTGATAGGTTACCTACCCACTGATAGGTTAGAAGTCGGCGCCATAAATTCTATACAAAATTATTCATTAAAACCTCAATAGATACCTAATTTATAATTTTGTGGCCATTAAGTTATATCATTGTGATAATAGCTTGACCCCTATCAAACAAAACAAGAATTTTGGAAATCGGTTCACAAATGGCGGAGTAATGCGCGAAAAAACAAAAAAAAACAATCAGCCGAACATAGTACCTCCTCCTTTTTGTGAAGTCGGTAAAAAAATACGTGTCTAATATTTTTTCATTATCTAACTGACAGACTAATTCGATTGTTAATTTTCTTACCCAGCAATTAGGTACCCTATTCTTAATATTATGTCGATCAAAATTCTCACTTTAAGTTCATAGTCTAATGAAGTTGGATAGAAGTATGTTAATAGATACTTACATACATTCGCTTCATTATCAATGTTCCTTTAAACTCTCAAGCATCGGCACAGGATTGTAAACTTAACGGTTATTCTAGACCAAAGTAATAATAACTTAAAACCAACAGTCTAGTATTTATATCTTTTAAGTAATGGTATCTTCTGAATCGAAACAGTTACAAAGCAGAATAGAGATCCAATTACATTAACAAATTAAGAACTCCAAAATGAGAGTGACCGCGGAAGCATGCCAACCCTCATTGGTAGAACGAAAGACCTTTCTTCAAATAATGCATGCAGTGACTAGTCAAACGAACCCGACTAACCAAATAATGGTTACTCTGACCAATAGAAAGCCATTCCCATCCCTATTTTCGTCCTTTAGTAAATTAAATGAGAAATTTTCACCAATTTTCCTCAAATCACCTTGGTGATACCAATTCCTCTGTGAAGATACTTAATTATTTTTTTTTGAGTGGAGATATTTTTGTTACAATTCTGTTTTGTGTGATATAATACCTTTTTAATTAAATGTTTTCAAGTATATTTATTGGTGCTCGTTTTTTGAGATTGTTTGTTTACGGTAAGATTAGCCGCACTTCAAACGGCTTTGTAAAAAAAGGTTCTTTGCAAAATTAACTTAATTATATTGTTTTAGGTACAGTGCATGTTGCTTTATTCGATATTGACTATTCACATTACAATTTCAAGTAAAATTAAAAACTTATCATACCAACACAGTCATAACTTACACACTTTGCTTATCCAAAAAAAAAACAAATTAAAAAATATTGTTTCCCGCGTACCTGTATAAATTAAAACATTAATCGTAATTTAAAATTCGAATGTTTGGTTATTTTTATTTGTGGCCAGAATGGAACGGTATATAAACCCCGCGGCCATATTCAATGTTCGTTACGTGCAGTGTGTGCATAGAAATTATTCTCTTTGTAATACGATCGCCTCTGTATTATTTATTATTGAGAACGCTTACGGATTTTGCAATTCTGTACCTTTTTGTGTTATTTTTAGGTTGCATTTTCTTTGAGACTTTGTTATTTATTTTTATGAAAGAATAAGCTTCTTTTTCCAAATTAATGACGCGTGAAACTTATTTTTAATGTTTATTTGCTTAGAGTTTTGTCTTGCTTAGGTTTTTTAATTTTTTTTTAAGGGGGAAAATCATCGAATGTCTGCTCCCACCTGGGTGAGACGGAAGGGAGTGTCAGACTCTTACTGACTAAAAACCACCCCGTTCCTAGGGTACGGTCAGCTGAATACCTATAGAAAAACCACGATTTATGCAAAATGTTAGTCTAAATAAAAAATAACTCCTATTATTTCTATTAAACCTGAATTATTGTTCTATAAAACATTAATTGTATCAGAAACAGCGGACGCCGTCTTAATTATTAACGGAGACAGCACAAACTATCTTCTTAACTATTACAACATCAGTCCAAACAAGTTGTTAGTAGTTCGAAACAAGTTGCCATCAACAATTCTCGAGATAAATGTTCTTAATTAAGTTTTGTAAGCGTAACCCTTACTTTTACGTTAACGTTTATATACAATAGAATATCGGGAATAATTTTAACGCAAACCGGCGATGACTCTCAAAAGTTTTTAGGGACTAGTTAAAACAGATACATTTTGTCGCTGACGAACACATGTCGAGGAAAGGATATCCTATTTACGAACGCGCTTAAATGTTTTCCTGGAAAGAAAAGGAAATAGATCAAAAGAAATTTACGACGAAGCAGGTAAATACATATGTTCTGTTCCACAAATTCTATTTAAAAGTAATGCAGTTATTTTCTTTGCTTTCTTTGCAGTAATGCAGTCATGTTACATAGAGCGCTTATAAAATTATTCAGCGCAGAATTAATTAATTTAATAACATACCTATTAGAGCAACTGCGTTGCGAAGGAACTAGCATTATTAATTTTCCTGGCTAAGAAATTAAATGTAGATACTTATGTTGGAATAAGTTTAAACTGCTTATAGAAGAAAACTTACCTATTATTTTATAATGATGTAGATTCAGGTTTTAGAACACGTAATCATAATACAATAAGCAATACACCACGTTACCCTTAACTTGTTACAAAAGATTTTCTACTTTAAGGCAAAATAATAAAGTATAAACTATACTTGATAATATAGTTACCTCAAAGGGGACTCCAGGTGCACCCTATGGGAAGAACAAGACGGTGCTGGTTGTTGATGCGAAGGGTGTGGTGGTAGCGGTGGAGGGCTGCTGTGGCGGCTCAGTGTCTCTGGAGACACCAGCGCAGCCCCCGCAGACGCTGGACTCGGTAAGGGCGGGGCACTACCACCAGAGATCTCAGAGTCTGCGCCCCCAAACGTGGCGCGGGAGACGTGAGATCCACCCGACATGTTGTTCGCTGGAATAGAGTAGCAACTGCAACAAAACAAAAAAGGTCACCATTAGTTAAAGAAAAAAAATGTCACTGTTCCTTTGACAGCATTTTAAGGAAGGATAAGGATCAGGGTAAAAAGGTTACGAACTAAATAATATAAATACATGCTGTTTAGAACAACTTCAATAGAATTTTAGGCGCATCAATACATTGGAAACACGGCTTTGCACAGCCATTCGGCTGGAAAAGAACTTTCACTTGAAGGCACACGCCTTCCTTAAATATAACGCGCAAAAGATGTCTACTCTCATGTAGGTACCCCTAAACCTTTAACTAGCCATAGTTTCTTGCGTCATCAATATCAATCAAGAAATGATAACTTTGATGTCTATTTTTGATCATAGGCCCCAAGCAAGTTCTAAGTACCCTTGGATTTCTGGCACCATCCAGATCTATCAAGAATGGGTTGCTTTTGCTTTTCGTATCTTTAGCACTCGACTGCTTCTCGTATCTTAATATTTAGTTTGTCAATAAGATTCAACGCAATATGTGCACAAGACTGCATCAACAACACCCACGAGTCAGTTTAATTAGTAATGAGCACCAGGTGTGTTTCCCGTCGGGAACTGGTTGCTGCACCACTTTACAGTGCGAACTGCAATATTATCTTGATAAACGTTGACTCTGTTAACTAAATGAGTCAATTGTGTCTTCCATTTACTGCATGCGCCAATTATCACATTTAGACCTGGTTGATTTCAAAGTTCGAGTTATCTAAAAGAGCTTAGCCCTGCGAGTATATAGATATTTGAGGAAAAATCTGGTCATATTTTAAATGATCAGGAAAAGTGAAAAGTGTTTTCGTCAAATTATCATAGCTAATGCTAAGCTAAACCAGAAGAAGAAAGGAACGCCTAACTTTAGAAACTTCTAAAGAAAATTCTCGCAGCCATAAAACCGCTCTTTACAGTACAAGACAAAGACTAATGAATAGAAAAACTTATGTTACGCAGCGTCACTGAACAATGCCAACTATGTGGAAAACATTCCAAACTATATCTTCTTTGTTGAACACCCAGTTTTAATTAAAGAACCTTCTATCTTTAATTAAAAACTAACTTTCAAAGTTCACTGTTAATAGAAATCGAAGCATGAAAATCTGGGATTAAATTCTCGCACGTGTACTCAGATTTTAAGCACGTTCAAAATTAAGATTTTAATGGAAGGGATTTTTTTGGCAGAAGAAACAAAAATGTGTTCATCAATCAAAAGTTACGTCCTTAAATCTACGTATAATCGAGTACGTAATCAGGATATCTCCCTCTGGAATATGCAAAATTACCTAATGGGGTGTATATATATTTGAGCATCTCCATTCTGTGCGGCGACGGTGCTTACGTCAGCGAAAATGGAGATATAATCCACGAAATTCATCACCATTACATCTTGTCGGCGCTTTATGTACCTACACTCAAATATAGGCACGGGCAAAATGAGGCAAAAATTGATAGCCCCCTCCAATCCCACGTCACAAGGAATCATGCTGACTACGAAATTTAGAAGGATAACTTTTACAAGGAGTTATCAAGAGTAGGTACGGGCGGATTCTTCCCTAAGTGAGTTATTACGCGGGAAAACATTTCAGAGACCTTCGGTTGTCTCTGGTCGAGATACGTGAGTTCAGTGAACTCTCGAGTGCAGTTTTCCGCCTTCGTCTGGCGACATTTTGCAAAAACTTTTTTTATGAAATTTCGAAATTGCTAAAGCTGTTCTAGAGAATGGATTGGTTCCTAGATCTGATTGGTGTTGCAGACATTTTTATTTTCTAACTTTCTATAGGTAAGTTTGATAAAGTTTCAGTCGGAACGCCTGTCTACTTCTAACTTTAAGTGTGTAAATTTTCTCATCTAATCTCATTTGTCGTTCTCACAAGTAACAGATGTTATGTCTGAAGCAATTAATAACATAACATAACTCCACGCCTTTTATCCCTGAAGGTGTACATCACGGCACTTAATGCCACTGTACAATGTAACACCCACTTTTCACTATTTTATGTTATGAGTCCCATATAGTAGGGGGTGAGTCTATTGCCATGTACCGAGCACATTTCTAGACTCCGTGCTACTACTGAGATTTTTTGAAAAACCCTCCGACCCGGGAATCGAACCTGAGACCCCTTGGCTGGCAGTCACACTTGCGACCACTCGGTCAATGAGGCAGTCCGAAATCAGAAGCATTTAATACCAAAATCTAAAATTTCATACAACGCAAATGAATACACTCCTGTCGAATAAAAGCCAAACCAATTATTAGCTACATAACATGCCACTAGTACATACAAGCACATAAGTACAATACATGTAAGTACCTACACACAAAATGTAACGTGACATTGGTCAGAGGCCTTAGTACGAGTTTCATTTACGTTTAAAGTATTCGAAACGGGTATGCGTTCGGCACTCTGATTGGCCGGCACCAATGAAGCAACCAATCACAGCGCCGAACGCGTGCTCGTTACGAATACTTCAAACGTAAACCAAACTCATACTAAGGCCTCAGTAGGTATATGAAAAAAGTACAATTAAATCTAAACCAGAAAACAATGTCTGATTGAATAGTGTAATACTTAAATAATTACATTATGCAATATTCATACATTATATTCACAAATGGCTGCGCTACCAAACGTGCTGAGAATGCAATACCTTCCGTGAGTGAATACGAACAACTTCATATAGTTTATGAAGTTCCGTGGAACTTATTCAGAATCTCAATTTCTTCAGTTCCTGTTGTGAAGTTTTGAAGTTTCGGTGTGAATATATTGAATATGGAAGTAAATTGAATTAATTTTGTGGAAACATGTGAGAAGTATTTTATTTGGTGCAAATTTTACAGTTATTTATCAATGCACATGTCTTGTGTTGTTTCTTAAATATTCTACGTGAATGTTCAAAATAAATTTAGTCATCTACATTTCTATTAATCATTGTAAAGCATGATCTATTTCATTCGGTGGATTAACTTGAGTAACGGTTACAAAGTCATGTGAAATTGCTTGATTCTACCAATGCAACAAAGTCTTTTGTTTCGGCCCCTCATAAAAATGCAACAAGAATATCAAATCACAAAACAATAACAACAGGAAATAGAGGACAAATGGAACAATCCGCAGTAAAGCCACGTCGAATACGTAAACTGATTAAATAATTCCAAGAAATCCTTATTCCCGTGCACCGAAAGTGCCACAAATCGAATCATCGTCGGTCGCTGGCTGGAGATGGGCGCCAGTCGCACATTTCCGCATCCAATATGGCCGCTTTCGATTTCCGGTCCCGTCTCTCGCGTAAACGGTTTACCTCGGATTACATACAACGTTTATTTTAATCAAACCAATGTTCGCCTCTTGCTCGAATCATGGGATTAAAGCCCCGTCCATCTGGACCGCTTCAAATACGAACACGATGTATGTAAATCAATTTTAATTGCCTGTGTATCAAATGCTCGAGTACATTTGGATTTTTGGCGACGCCGCGGGTAACGATGTTACAAAGGGTTTTTGTTCATTCCATTATTTGAGCTTTCGTAATGGCGGTCGAATAAAAGCGTCATGTTTGATTTATATTTTTTAAATAATTTTTATTCGAAAACATTTGAAAATAGAATAGCGGGTTTTTGCAATTTCATGAATCAAAGGACTGGTAAAAACCGAAACTTTTTAAACATCGTAAGTAAAAAAAAAACATGTTTTAAAAGTTCCGATTTTTTACCAGCACGCTTTTGTTTCATTTGAGTTGAATCTATACAAAATGAACAAACTTTTTATTTGCATTATATGCATAAGTTACCCAGTAAAAAAGGTAAAGGAATCACTAGGAATCTGAGCGATATAATACTGCAACCGTTCTTTCATTCCCAGAATCAATTCTAAGTAGATTTTTGTCAGACATATAAAGTTTGTAATTTCAAATTTCCTTAATGTTTAGTTCAAAGCTCACCCTATTACAAAGAAATTAATAACATAGATGCTAATAGAACCTTCGGCAAAAATTATAGTACCTACGTGTCTTTACAAACCAAATTCCTATCTACATGAAGCTTCTATAAATCTAGTCCCTAAAAGACAAGAGAAAACCGTACCATCCACAAAGTATTTAGCGTTGACAGACCTCATCAATCATATTGCGAAGAAGTCTCCTCACGTTACCTGTCATCCATAATTCTCGTGTTACCAGTATTAATACCAATATTGTTAGACATGATTAAATCTGTTTTTGTTAGCTCTAAGCGACGAACGTGGTGGCTTAAAGTGAACGTAGAATGATTTTTTGTTGAATAAATTACAATCATAACAAGATATCCTACCATGAAGTTTCTGGAATAGACTTTCAATAAAAGGGAATGAGGTTGATAGTAGATTGGGAATATTCCTTTTAAAAGGCCGGCAACGTATCTGTGGCTCCTCTGGTGTTGCAGCCGTCCATGCGCGCTGCTAATCGTTTACCATCAGGTGAACTGTCCGCTCATTTGCTCCTATTCCATGAAACAAATAGCGTAATGAACTGATGTCTGACTACCAAATTATACCAAATAGATGCAAGTACCAAATAGTAAGCTATGTCCTTAAATTAGTACAAAAAATAATACTTACATAGATATAAGAATATCCAAGTTCAATCTTAGAAAAGACTAGGATAGGTACCATAATATCAGAGAACTATGAACGTAAGGAATGTACTTGAAAATCTCGAGCACTATTAAGTCATCCGGAATTTATGATCGTACTTCTATTCTCTAGAGGATATCGATTCCAGGAACAATATAATCGAAAACGGCTTTCAGCACAATGGTACAGATTTAGTAAATTCCAAACTTCAAGTGTTCAACTTAGCCTATTCTGAGAAATAAAGTAATATGAATAAATTCATTGAATTTTAGTAGCGGTAAACATTCTTTTTTTAGGTTTTTTTGGATATCAAGAGCTCAAGCTTAATAAATTTTCGGAAGGGGGAACTTTTTTATGTTAACGTGATTGAAACGT